GCTCGTGGGGTTGTCTCTTGTGCCTTCAGCAAGCTTTGAAGTCCTCTGACCTCCACTTGCTTCACTTACAGAACCAGGGGTAGGATTAGCTCATCCCTTAAGGCTCTTTCAGGTTGAAACTATTTCGGAGATTGGGTTATTTTTGTTTTATTATGTTCAAAAATCGTTATTCCCCATGTTTTTAGCTTTTCCAAAATTTCTTAAAAAATACTTTTTATTGATTTTTTTAGCGAGAGAGGAAGGGAGAGAAATAGAGAGATAGAAACATCTATGAGAGAGAAACATCATCGATTGGCTGCCTCCTGCATGTCCCCTCGTGGGGATTGAGCCGACAACCAGGGCATGTGCCCTGACCGATAACCTCTTGATTCCTGGGTCCATGCCCAACTGCTGAACTGCACCAGCTGGGCCCAGATTTCTTTTCTTTCACTCTCTTCTTGGATTTTGACTTTCCCTAGTATCTCCTTTTGCTATTTTACTTAATATATTTAGTTCATTTCACTTTTAAAAATCATACTTATTTGAAATAAAAGTCTTATGTAATTCTCTTAAATGGAAATTCAGTATCCTTTTGAGTATCATGAAGTTACTAAAGTTACCAACATGGATTTAAAGGTGGGAAGCAAATATTTATTGAGCTTCAGCTCAATAAATAAAATTTCTGTTCTAAGTATTTTACATACATTATGGTATTTAATTTTCGCCATGACCCTTTGGGGGTAGACACTGTTCTTACCTCCATTTTACAGATGAGAAAACTGAGGCTTTGAGAAGTTTCATAACCAGTGGCCACTTGATGTAGGGAGCCACAGGGTATGAGGTCTAGAGCCACAGCCCAAGTTTAAGTGGCTTAAGGTTTGAGAATGATGTGTGTGTGTGTGTGTGTGTGTGTGTGATCCATTTTTTAAATGGTAAAATATATGTAACATAAAGTTTACCATTTTTAGGTGTACGGTTCAATGGCATTAAGTATGTTCACATGGTCGTGCAACCATCACCACTGCCCCTCTCCAGAGCTTTTCTGTCTTCCCCAACTGAAACTCTGTATCCAGTGAAAAAACAATTCCCAAA